AGGTGGGTTTAGATTTACAAAGGCTTTTAAAGGCACAAATTCCCATAAAATAGATGGTTATTTATATGCTCAGCATACAATGGAAGAAGTAGAAATATATCAATGAAATATTAGTCTAAAAACTAAGTACCCTAAACCCCATTTTTTTTAGTGGAGGAGATTTTAGTTTCACAGCTTGATGGATGATATCTGGTCCCTAGAAGCCAAAATTAAAGCAGAAGTCGATGGTTTCTCATGGAATTACAGCTCCTTTAAAGTAGTCCTGGTTCTGAAAGCCTCCGAAGATTCCTGAAATCCGATTTTAACAGCCCAAAACAGGTGGCCAGAAAATCACCTGCCCCTTCCAGGCAGCATTTGAGCCTCCCAATTGAATTAGTAATTGCCCCCCCTGGTTATTTGACATTCCCATTGGAGTTTCCAGGCGGATTCCTTCAGTCCCTCTCTCCAGCACGGCTCCTGCAGCGGTTCCAAAATGAAAAAAACCCAAAAACCAAGGAAAATCTATAGACTCATAACACCAGTTTATTGTATCATCTCCACTAATTTTTTTAGGCTCCCTCCCCCATCTTTAAAATCTTTTAAAAGTTCTACTTTTTTTTCCGTTTTGCACAAAATGACTTCATTAATTAAAAGACAAAATAATACAGAACATAAATACATATTTAACAGATTAAAAAAAAAAAAAACAAAACCAAAACAACCAAAACCATTTGAAGCTTCCAAAAACAAAACAAAAAACCCCAAAACAAAATGTTAATTACAGCCAAACCTTGCTTAGAAGAACTCCTGACTAAAACAAAAAAATAAAAATAAATCAACAAACACTTCAGACACTGAATTGGTTGGTCCCATCAGACTCTTCCCACGGGATTTTTCTGGGATTTCGGGGCTCATCCCTGTTGGTCCCAGTGAGTTCCTGCCCTCAAGGTTGGTCCGTTCCTCACATTGCAATAGACCCTGAAAGTCTCAAACAGCTTTTTTGTCGTTGTTTTGTCTCCACCCCTGCTCCACGTTTTGCACTTGGCCAAACTTCCAGGCCGAGCGAGTTTGGCTCAGTCCAACATTTTGTCCTTCATTTACTCAAAAGGCATCACCGATCCTTTTCCTTTTCTGGTGTATTTTTTTCCTCTTATTTTTAATTTTTTGTCCTTTGTTTGTAGTTTTTTTTCGTGGTTTTTTTTTTTTTAATTTCTTAAACCCTAATCAAAGGGAAAAAAAAAAAATAGAGCTCTGTCCTTTCGGCGAAGTTTCGAAGCAAGGCGGCGACCAGCAGAAAGTTCCCAGCGGCTCAGGAGGCACTTTGGAACACTCCACGCTCTTCCTCCTCATTCCTTCATTAGTGCATAATTCCAGGGGAGCCTGGGGAGGCTCCGGGAATCCTTTTAAGGCCTGGTCAGGGTGGTGTAGACGGGCTGCTCCCAGTTGGCGGTGGGGCTGTGTGCCGGCGGGATGGAGAGCCCGTTGAGGATGGGGGTGGCGTAGGGGCGGCGCGAGGAGTGGAAATAGGGGTACTGGTAGAGGCTGGAGGCGTAGCCGGGGTAGGGGTTGTAGTAGTTGGAGCTCTGCAGGTCCGTGTAGTCGCACTGCGAGCTGGAGAAGGAGGAGGAGGAGGCGGCGGCCGGGGCGGCCGAGGTGGCGCAAGGCTGGGCGCCGTAGGAGCCGTAGGAGTCGGAGTGCGCTGGGGAGCCGTGGGGCTGCTCGCTGTAGTGGCTGGGGCTCAGCTGCTCCGTCTTGATGTGGGGCCGCTGCTGGCTGGGCTCTGGGGCCGCCGGCGAGGCCGCGGCCGGGCTCTTGTGAGTCCACACCTGGGCGGCCGCGCCCGAGTGCGCGTAGGAAGCGCCGTAGGTGGAGGCGCCGGCGCCGTGCTCGGCCGGCAGCGCTGCGTGGCCGTTCAGGGGCAGGTACTGGTCGAACTCGTGCACGTCGAAGGTCTCCATGTTGTTGATGACCTCGCTGCTCAGCTCCGAGATGTCCACGTTGCTGAAGTCAATGTTCTGGCGGCCGCTCTCCACCAAGCGCCGGCCCTCGTGCTTCAGCTCCTGCTTGCCGCCGTGGTGCAGGTCGGTTTTGGGGGTGGTGGGCGGTGTGGGGGGTCCGTGGGGCTGGCCTGGGGGTGAAGGGACAGCGAGGTTTCAGCAGTGAGCACAGAACACCCAACTCCATCATCCAGTAAATGTGTTTCACCCATCGCTCTCTTTGGGGATTTAAACCTGTCAGACACGGGGGATGTCCACCCCTGTGGCCGTGTCCCCCCTGGGATGAGCCTCCCACACGGGGCCTGGGATGAGGCTGGGAGCACGCTGTGCCCATCAGGATCACTCTGGGACACGGCAGGACACCCTGGCAGCACCAGGGGTGCATTCACAGAGCGAAGCCCATGATGGAGCTCATCCTCTCCCTGCGGGCTGCCGAGCCCGAGGGAGCCAGGGCCGTGATCCCAGTGGGGTCTGAGGCTGCAGGATGTTCCCAGCGCTCCCAGAATCTGTCAGCACACCAATTCCCAGCGCTGGGAAGCTCTGCCCCAAGGACCCCGCTCCCCAGGCACCCTTATTAGCCCATCACACCAATAATTAGCCCAAAATAAGTCACTCTCCCCATCCAGGAAGACCAGGATCCCGATGCTTTGGCATTCCCTATGGCACAGGCAGCTCTCAGAACACTCCCAAGGAAAACCACGGCCATGCTCCCAAGCACAGCTGATGGGACAACATCTGCCTTGGGCTCTGCAGGGTGGGAAGCAGCAGGATCCCATCCCACCCCCATGGCACAGGGATCAGCGGGAATGCCACCCTTTACCTGCGTGGTCCCCGTGGTGGTGGGAGTCGGCCATGCCCCCCAGCCCCGTGTCGGCCTTGTAGAGCTGAGTGCCGGCGTGGTGGCTGAGCTCAGCCCCCGAGTCCGAGTCGCTCTGCCCGGCTTTGACGCTTTTCCTCCTCCGGGGCTGGTATTTGTAATCCGGGTGATCCTTTTTGTGCTGCACCCTGAGCCGCTCGGCTTCCTCCACGAAGGGACGCTTCTCGTTTTCGCTCAACAAACTGGTTTTTGGGGGAGGTTGGTTGTTTTAATGAGGAAGAGAAAGGGAAAAGAAAAAAGCCAAAATTAGGATTTTTTTCCTTATAAGTTTTCTTCTTGTTTTTAGACTCACACATCCCCACTTCTCATGCACTCAGCAAGCTAACTACACAATTAACTTGCTGTGGTAAAAAGGAGTTAAAATCCACGGCAAAGAAATGGATTAAAATACCAACTACAGCAGCATGAAAAACCTGACCACTATAGACAGGAGTAACCAGGCAAAACAAAATCCCCCTTCCACATTTCTAACGCAACTACAAAATATAATCCCCACGTTTGCCCTGCAAATGCCAACCCCTCGTCGCCACAAACATTTCCAGCTTTGTTTGGTGCTTACAAAGAAACCACCAAGGCACCAGGGATGGGATTATTGCTTTCCAAACTCTGCCCCCTGCCCACACCTCTCTTTGCAAACTCTTGGAGAGGCTCAAACCACAGCGGGAGCATCGCTGGCCCGAGCCAAGCAGGAAAGATGGGAATTAGGTACAGGCAGACACCACGGGATAAACCACAGAGAGAAACGTGGCTCGGGGAAGAGCCTTGGAAAGCAAAGCGGGCTCGGATGCTGCTCAGCAAATAAAAGTTTGCATCCCCGGGCAGCACTGAGCAGATAAGCAGGGAAATCAGGGAGCTCGTTAAAACAACTGCTAAAAATGAGTTTAGCTGCGTTTATAGCTTGTAAAGCATCAAGCCAGCCAAAAGAGAAAAAAAAATTTGGAAAAGCCATAAAACAAGTCATTCAAAAAGTCTCATCGCGTGGGGATGGAGGAGCCGCAGGCAAGGGAAGGGCTTGTGCATCTCCGTGATGGAGCAGGGAAAATCCACCCGCGGCAGGAGCGAGGGTGCCCAAGGCCCTGCTCGGGGGGATTTTTGGGAGCCGAGTCCTTCACAGCGCGCCGGGATGCTCGGGGAGGGGATGCTCGGGGAGGGGATGCTCCGTTCGAACGGCTCCGAGAAGCCGGAGAAGCGGAGATGAACAAAAACAAAGCGGGCAGCAAAAGCCGCCGGGAAGGAGGGAGGGAGGGAGGAAGGGGGAGCCCGGGCGCGCTGCCCCGCGGAGGCTCCGCGCATCTCGGCACTCACCGCCAGAGCTTGCCCAGCGTCTTGCTGAGCTCGGCGTTGTGCAGATGCGGGTACTGATCCGCCAGCTTCCTGCGGGCGGCCTGCGCCCACACCATGAAGGCGTTCATGGGCCGCTTGACGTGCGGCTTGGCTTTCAGCGATCCGTTGCCGCGGACGGGCATGGGCACCAGGCTCCAGTCGTAGCCCTTGAGCACCTGCGAGACGGCGTCGCGGATGCAGGCGGGGAAGCGCTCGTCCACCTCGGCCGCGTCCACCTTGGCCCCCAGCGCGGCGGCGGCGGCGCCCGGCGGGCGCGGGGCGGGCGCGGGGGCGCAGCCCAACCCCTCGGAGCCGGCGGGGGAGAGCGGCGAGTCCGAGTCCGAGTCCACGTGCGACATGGAGCTGCTGGTGCCGGCGGGGCTGCACGGAGCCTCCAGCGCTTTGTCGTGCTCCTCGGTCATGTTGAGCATCGGCGGGCCGGCCGCGCGTTGTGCCCGCCCGGTGGAGCGGTGTGTGGGGAAGGGGAGGGTGCGCACCCTCCGCGGGGCGCCGCGGGAAAACGAGTAAAAATAATAAGTTCTAGAAGGAAAAATAAAAAGACACGAAAAGCTCAAAACTCAGCTGAAAATCCGCGTTCCCCCCGCCGTGCTCCGCAGCCGGTCCCGCCGCCGCCCGCGCTGCCCTCGCCGCGCTCCACGTCCAGTGCGAAACGGGGCCCCTGGCAACAAGTTACTTTAAGGGCAGGGCGAGCGGCCCCGCCTCCGCCGCCGCTCGCCATTGGTGGAGACGGCGCTGTGATTTGCATAAGGGGCGTGGCTCCGGGCGGCGGGCCCGTGCCGCCCGCCCGCCGCCTCAGAGCCGCCGCTCCGCCGGCCGGAGCCGCCGCCGCCGCCGCGGGGTCCCGCTGAGGGATCCGCTGAGGGATCCGCTGCCGCCCCGGCCCGCTGGATGCCACCCGCCGCTCCTCCGGCTCCCCGTTCCGCCTGCCTCTTTTCGGCTCCTCTGTGCCTTTTTATCCGCTGCAAATCGTCCGGGGGCTTCACCGCCGCGCGGTACTGGCGGGGAACCTCCCGCCGGTGGGGATGTGTTTCGTGCTCCGGTGTGCAGCCGGGGGCCCGGATTTCCAGCGGGGTCCCGGATTTCTAGCAGGGTCCCGGTTTTCCAGCGGGGTCCCGAATTTCTAGCAGGGTCCCGGTTTTCCAGCGGGGTCCCGAATTTCTAGCAGGGTCCTGGTTTTCCAGCGGGGTCCCGAATTTCTAGCAGGGTCCCGGTTTTCCAGCGGGGTCCCGGTTTTCCAGCGGGGTCCCGGTTTTCCAGCGGGGTCCCGGATTTCTAGCAGGGTCACGGTTTTCTAGCAGGGTCGCGGTTTTTTAGCGGGGTCCCGGTTTTCCAGCAGGGTCCCGGTTTTCTAGGGGCGTCCCGGTTCTCTAGCAGGGTCCCAAATTTCTAGCAGGGATCCCGGTTTTCCAGCGGGGTCCCGGTTTTCTAGCAGGGATCCCGGTTTTCCAGCGGGGTCCCGGTTTTTCAGCCGGGTCCCGGTTTTCTAGCGGGTGCGGCGTGGAGCAGCCGGGTTCTTTCCCGAGTGCCGCGGGGCAGAGGCGCGGAGCGGCACCGTGGGACCGCCGGTTCTTTCCAATCCCCTTTTCCAGGTTTTTTTTTGGGGGGGCGGTCGGGAGGGCAAAACCCGCTGTGTGTCCCCGGTGTCCCCGGGGCCGTGCGCTCCCGCAGCCCCGAGCGCATCGCTTCGGTCCCGCTGCCTCCAGCGGGCGAGTAACGAGGAAAAATCGGGGAATCGCTGGGAAAAAAAGCGACACCAGACCCTCCGTGTCCCTTCCCCGACTGTCCCTCCTCTTTTCCCGCAGCCTTCCCGCAGCGGGCTCCATCCCGAGCACCGGGAAGCGCCCGGGAGGTCCCGGCCGGAGGAGGATGCGGCACCTCCGGGTGAGCCTTTGGATGGGGGGGAAAAAGGGAGGGTGACCCCCAAAATCTCCCCCGTCTGTCCCTTTCCGAGCCAGCCCTGCTCTTCCAGCATTTCTTTGGAGCATTTGATTCTAATTATCCGCGGAATTCAGCCTTCTAATTGCGACTGGGGGGTGGGAGGGGAATAAAAGCAGCTCCCCGAATTCAAGTTTTATCTGCTACTTACCCCCGGAAAAACAGAGAGTCACAGGGGGAAAAATAAGAAATTGGGCTTCAAGCATTCCAGCGTTTAAAAAGTACCAGGAATATGGTGGTTTTTGTTTAATTACTGTGATGTGTAATAAATAAACCGTATGCTTTGAATTTAAATGCGTTTAAATGTGCCCAAACATCCGTCTGCTTTCTATGTGAAAATTAATTCGTTCTCTCAAACGGCAAAGCAGGATTTAATGTTATTAAAAAAAAAAAAAAACAACAACCCAAACTAATTTTTCCACTTTTCAGCTTTCCGTTTGCAGAGTTACCGCCTGACATATTTGAAATACAATTTTCAAAGCGTCTTTTTAAAAAAAAAAAAAACATTTCAAGGCTCAAGGTGAGCTAAATACATTGGACTTGCTAATTGAATAATTGAAATTTTCTTCTAAAATTTAATGAGATTGGGGATGAGTTTATGTTTCCCTGGGCTATGGATTGGTGACTTTGCAGTGCTGTTGGACACTTGGGAAAATCTTTTTTCCCCCGTCTCCTGTGACACATAATTAATGCATATTCCTATAAATCCTGTCTCATTGGGCAATTTACCTTGACTCACAGAATTCCAGTGTTTCATCTGTTCTATCCAGGGGTGAGTCCAAGCAATAATCACTATTTTTAGTCCATTTTTTTCCCAATCCAGCCCCTCCTTTGGAGCTCTTTCCTCGGAAGATCCCAACCTCAGTGCGTGACTGAGGCTGGGAAGGGATTTGTGGGATGCTCGGAGTTTTGGAGGTAGGAACAGGAACAAGAACCTCTTTTTTTCTGCTCCCTGTCTTCAGCTCCAAAGATTCCTGCAAAAGAAGCCCCCAAGGACAGGAGGAATTACAGACTTTGGTTTTCTTCCCTGCTCACCGCTGCCTTCCAGAGCTCCCCAGCCCTGCCTGAGGCAGGGAATTGCATCTCCCAGCCCACAGGCTTGAATTCCTCTTTGTCCAGCACAGGTAGAAGGAGGAAGGTGACTTTGGGTGGTTGTTTCCTCTTATTCTGGAGATGGGCTGGGGGATGAGGCCGTGCCTGGAGCGGGGCAGGGAACGTGTCCTGCCGCATGTCCGTGATCCCGCACAAACCCTTCCGTGTTCCCTGTCCCTCCTCGGGGGATGGAGCACAATTCCCCGGCCTCACACAGCCAGAACACAGGGACAGGAGGGAGCTGGAGGTGCTCAGGAGCTCTGGTTTCCTGAGAAGTTCGCTCATCCATGAAATGGAATGAGATAATGCTCAGGGAACAAGTGGGTTCAAGTGGGGCCCTTTGGGGGTCTCGTGGCCGGATTTTTGTGTGACAAAGGATGGGGACGTTTGCCCAGGGATGGGCACAGCCTGGAGCTGCAGGGCAGGATCCCACGGGCTGTGGCATCCTGGCCTGACACAGCAGGCCCTGACATCAGCATTCCCAGCAAAAATGTGCAGATTTGGGAAGGAACAACCCAGGTTCCTGTTGCCCAGTGCGCCCAGTTTAGAGAGGATTTGGGGGAACAGCTCCAGCTCCTCCTGACGGAGTGGGCACAGCAGAGGCTGATATTTGGAATATTGCTTCATTTTCTGACGTGGCCTCCAAGAAAATTCCTGGCCAGCTCAGCCTGTGTTTCTGGGAATCGGGCAGTAAATCCAAAGCCTGTGTGCATGGTTCCATCACATTCCCACTTGGGAATCCTCAGCACCCCTGTGGGATGAAGGCTGCTCCACCTCCCATCCCGGTTCCTCTGTTCCATACCCCTTCCTCCTGCAGGAATAAGAGCGTGTGTGCATTGGCTCCAGAGCAGGCAGAGCCCTGCTCGTGCCAGGAAGGAAAAATTTCCTTTCCAGTGGCAGCCAGGGAAGGCATTTTTAGAGGATGAGAGCACGTGGAATCTCTGGAGCCCGTGGATGTGCTCTGGGATGCGCACACAGACCGTGCTCCTCCCAAACTGGGCTCCATCCCTCATCTGACCAAGGGGGAAAGTTCTCATTTATCCCAAGCTGGCCTCCTTTGACCTGCCAGCAGATTGCACATGGGAATTCCAAGGAGCAAAGAGAAAGAGCCTTATGGGGAATTAAAAACAAACCCTGATCAGATAAGAGGAACCTGTGGTGTTAAAATCAGCCTTTGACACCTGCAGGATTAATGCTCAGCCCAGAGCACGTGGCAGCTCTGAGGCTGCTGTGAAACAATGTTTAAGCCTTTCCAGAAAAACTCCTGATATCTGAACAGAAGGAATAAGAACACAGGTGGTAATTTCAATTAATTTCAATTAAAACAAGCTTTGCCCTCAAGCTGGACAATAGTGGTGGGTCCCATCCCACACTGAGTGCTTGGGAAGGCTCTGCTGGCTGCTCATGCAATTTTAAGGCCAAATTTATGGAGATCCATTCCTTGCAGGTCACTTCAGGTCCAAAATTTGCCTTTTGTTCACATAAAATGAGCCTTGCCTCACCCAAAGCTCGTGTGGCTGTGGCACTTGGGGACATGGGTTAGGGGTGGCCTTGGCACTGGATGATCCAAGGGGGCTTTTCCATCCCAATCCCACAACTCTGTGACCTGCAGCAGCATTTTTCCAACATGAATATTTACCTGGTGCAGATAAAAAAACCCCTGCACACCTGCACTGGGCAGGACTCCACTGATTTATCTCTTCCTTCTTGCAATGGAAGCGGAGAGGAGCGCCTGGGATCCCCAAATCCTCTTCTAGTTTTGAGTGGTGGATACCAAAGAGAAAGGACATCTGATGTCAATTTTTCAATTCAATATTTATTGCATAAAGTTTGTTATTTATTCAAGTATTTGAAGATCACAGCAAAAAACCCAAAATATTTTTGCAGGAACAAAACCCAGCCATGTATGAATTACACATTAAATGCCAGGTGAGGTGTTGGCTTCTTTTCTCCTGCATAGCACAGCCTGCATGACATTTTTTCAAAATAATGGGGATTACTGTGATTAATTATTATTATTGTGATAATTAAATTCTTGTCCTATGGTACCACTTAAGCATCCCTCTTCTGAACCAGCCCCTCCTCATTAACCTGCACAAGTACATGAGAAAAAAAGGTGATTCTTCCTCTAAAAATCCTTTCCAGCCTTAATCTTGGAGTTGAAGATCAGATTTCCACAGGGATAATTTGGGATTTTAAAGGGAAAAATTATTACTGCTGGAAAAAAAAAATGGATTAGCAGAAGGAAGGTCCCGAATTCTCTGTGAGGTGCCCGTGTCCCCTTCAGCCAGCGCAGCTGAGTGCTCGGTGCGTGCCTGCATTATCCACAGCTGAATGTCTGCTCTCTTCAGAGGAGCCCCCCGTGCTGTGCTGCCTCCTGATCTCAGCTTTCTCTGCTCCCTTTCAACCCAAATCCTGGCAGCCAGAGGGGAGAAAGGCCAGAGCTGAATGAACACAGAGCGATTTCGGGTGCCAGGGCCAGCCAGCGGGGTTGGGGCGCTGCTGGGGACAGCTGCTGGCTGCTGTGACAGTAAAGGCTTGTTCCCCTGGCACTCCTGCAGCTGGTTTGGAACACAGCAAAATAGGGGACGTGGCATTGGGGGTGGCTTGGTGAATGAAGATGAGCATCAATGATGCCCCTGCCCGCCTGGCATTCATGAATTGCCTTCCCCTGGAGGCTTGGAAGGCTCCAAACCTCGCTCTGAGTTGGTTTTGCTCGGGGTTTGCACTGTTTTCTTAAGTTGCCAGCTGAAAATAAAAGAAGAAATTGAGAATTGAGCAGAAAAGCCAGCACAGGTGATGGTCCCCACAAGGGGGTTTGTGAAATCACAGAATATCTGAGTTGGGAGGGACGCACAAAGATCCTCGAGTCGTATTTGGGACAGAAAAGACGTCATTTGGTGTCCTGATCAACTACTGCTTTATCACGTTTTACTTTCTAGCCTGAATCTTCTTCCAGGAAAGCCAGGAAAGGCTTCCACTGCTGTTAGGAGAATTGAGTCCTTTTCAGTAACAACACACATCTGCTGGTTTAGGCTTAACATTTGCAGCTTATCCTGTTGGAAGGTGCTCCCGGCCCACGATGTGGCACGACCCTCGGCCATGAAAACCGACCCAGCTCCCCATTCCCCTCCCAGCCCCAATTACTCTTCCCTTTTTGCTAAACTTTAGCCTAAACCCTCCACTTTCCCGCAGTAATTTCCTCAATTATCCAGTTTGTTTTACAGACACCCCCGTTTAATGTGGAATTTGCTGTAAAAGACCCCACAAAGGAAACCATTAGCTCCCATCTATTTAAATTTTCCTCTTCAAACCTTGTGGCAGATCCAGAACTGCAGTATTCCAGTGGCCTTTAACAAACAGCTGATTTTTCCTTCCCTATACAATGCACCATTATGTGGCATTTTTTTTTCTATTTTTTTTCCCTAAGGAGAACAATGCAAGCAGCACTGATGGGAAACTGGAAAAACAAAAGGGGCATTTAGAAGGGACTGGTTTAGAGGCTGGGAAGTGTTGAATAATGTTACACCTGATAGCAGATGCTTTCTCAGCGACCAGCACCGAGGTGTTTACTAAGAGGATACTCCATATATGTTTATGCTCAAAAATACTATTTACGAACTCCACGCAGCCAAGTGTTTGAGGTCTGTGAATTATTTAAAATAAAAATCATGGTGGCATCACAATGAGTGAATTTTGATGGGATTTTAGGAGGAAATCCTTTCCTGTGAGGGTGGAAGGAGCTGGGATGGAATTCTCAGAGAAGCTGTGGCTGCCCCTGGATCCCTGGAAGTGTCCAAGGCCAGCTTGGACAGGGCTTGGACCAACCTGGGACAGTGGAAGGTGCCTAAAATTGTAATTGGATGAGCTTTAAGGTCCCTCCCAACCCAAACCATGCCGTGATTCTATGAGGAAAACCTGAGGAATTGAACTTAAAATGAACTCAAATTCCCCAGCCCAGGCAGGGTCACCGGAGCAGGTGACACAGGAATGCGTCCAGGTGGGTTTGGGATGTCTCCAGAGAGGAAGATCCACACCCTCCCCATTCCATGGCCCTGCCACCTCCATGGAAACCAGTTTTTCTGTAAATTGAGGTGGAATTTGTTGTGTTTATCTGTCCTGAGCTCAGCAGGTCCCAGCATGGTGCTGACAAGTCCAAGGCTGTGGATTCAATGTGAGCCATTCACTGAAGGGACTCGATC